CCTGGTGCATATGTGGAGCCAGCCCAAGTCAGCAAGAGCAAGACCTCCCAAAAATGTACCATCTCAGGGAGCACTCTTTGCCCTTGAAAGAGTCACATCCACAAAAGCAGGATGCCATTTCTTTATTGTGGCCTCATGTACTCTTTAGTGGACCAGCAGAGTCCATTCGTCTGGTCTGTAACAGACAATGGTTCAAAACTTCCTCTGGCCAGATGCATTTTTACACACAGTTTTAGCAGAGATCTCTTCTTCCCACCAACAATTTACTTCCATGTGGTGCCATGTTCAAAAGAAACACAAGTGGGCCTGGATGATGGCTCAACAGGCCACAGCAATAAAAGCATGAAGGAGCCCCGAGGTCAATGCCCAACACCAAATAGTCACCTGAGCATTACCTGCAGTGGGATCCTGAGCATCATCAGCCTCTCTCCCACCTACATATAAAGGAAACAACTCACAGAAAAAGCACCCAAGAGCAACGGGTGCTGTACTGATTCTATGGAAAGATGGTCCAGAGCATACTGTACTTTTTATTCATTCTACTTCCAAAGGGCCCCCTCGTGACAACTATAACCCCCAATCTCCATTTGTCTCTGTGCCCTTTATCTCACGTCTACTGGAATATCTCTCTGATCTTTCTAATTTTCCATCTTTTTCATTCAAACTAATTTATCCTCCATTTTTTTTCTGTCCACCAGGTAAATTCACTCTGTTGAGGAGACTTATGGATAAACACAAAATCCTTCTTAGAAGATGAAACAATGGGGAAGGCTCTGAATTCTGACTCTTTATCATTCTGTCCCTGTCAACTTACATGTCATTCAAGTGAGATATGCCTGCATTTGAGTACAGAGTTGGTCCTTCTAGCTGCGTATGACCTTGGACAAGTGATACCGTTAGGTCTCCATTTCCTTCTACATAAAATAGGAATTGTTCTACCTATTCTAGAAAATTGTTGAATTCCAGGTAAAAGAACCTTAAAGTAGAATAGGATCAGCTTATGTGCCTGGTTATATTATAAAATTAGACACATCTGCTTTCCATCAACTATTGGGGGCTCATAGAAAACATGGTTATTTGGGAAGGTACCAATTGTGATAAACCAAATTTCAATTTCCAGTTTGGGTTCCAAAGGTAGTAATTCATTAGTATTCACTCTTTATTATTATTTCATTAATTTTTATCATATAGGTTATTATTTTTATCTGTTCTGGGACCACATCCAATGGTGTTCAGGACTTACTTCTGACTCTGTGCTCAGGCATCACTCCTAGTGTTATTTCAAGGACCATGTGTGGTAATGAGGATTGAACCGAGGTCAGCTGTGTGTAAAGCAAGCACACTACTTGCTGTACTATTTCCCAAGTTCTATACAGGTTTTTCTTCTTATTTTTCCACGGTCACCATTTTCCAAAGATTGCTTTAGCGAGAGTCTCAAGAACTGTGTCAGGATCTTCTAAATCCATGGTATCATTTCAGGCTTTTCTTCTTCCTTTGCAGAATGACAACTGGTGTTTTGACTCCTGTAGATTTCTACCTGTCCTCCAATAATACCAGAGGATTGTCCCTTAGTAATATTATAAATTCATTATTAAAATTAGAAATAGTAACTGGAAGCTACCAGGGAGGCTTTTGCTGATCAATATTTCCAATATGCACCCTTGTGAGCCTAATTTTTGTTGTTGTTTTGCAAAACATTATTATGACAATAATAAAAAGCTTAGCACCTTCACTGTTTTACTTAAAGCTCTCTATGCATATGTGTAAATTTTATATCCTAGTAAATCATAACTGTTTGCTGTATTGCTATATAATCATCATAATTATTACTTTAATGACCATGTAATCATCCATCTTGTTAATGTGTCATAATTTACTTGACCTAAATTTTCAACAATAGGAGACTAGTTGTTTCCTGATTTTTCCCTGTTATAAATAACTTCTAGGTTACATTTTTTGTGCATATAGCATCTTTCATTTTTTAGATTATTTCCTTAGGTTATATTCCTAGAATGGAATCATTGAGTCAAGGAATGTGAATTTTTAATAGTTTTTAAATAAATTGACCTTATTTTCCAGTTCACAATGCCTGGAAAACTAGACTGAAAATAGTCTTCTGTCTTCATTACAGCCTTATAAATAAGCATATAAGTATACTAAAATAGTACCTTTTATTTTTTCCATTTTCTCAATGATAGCGACTTTTCTAAAAGTATTTTTTATTGAATCACTGTGAAATAGACCCTATCAAAGCTGTTCATGATAAGCTTTCAGTCATACAATGTTTCAACACCCATCCCTTACCAGTGTAAAGAAAATCAAAACTTTTATTTATTTATTTATTTATTTGTTTTGCTTTTTGGGTCACTCCCAGCAATGCTCAGGGCTTCCTCCTAGGTCTGCACTGAGTAATCACTCCTGGCAGTGCTTGGGTGACCATATGGGATGCCAGGGATTGAACCCGGGTTGGCTGTGTGCAAGGCAAATGCCCTACCTGCTGTCCTATGGTTCTGGCCCCCCAAAATAGAAATTTTTAATCAAACATTTACTTACAAGTTTATATTCTCTTACATTTTGAAAAATCACTTTTGAAACCTAGTTCATTTTTTGCTAACATTAGGAGCACATGTCCAGTGCCAATATTCTAATATATTAAATAAAATGAGTATTAATATTTTCTGAACAAAATGTTTAGTCAGATCCCTGCATAAGTAACACAGACCAATGTTCAAGGGACTGTATGGAACACCCAGATAAAGCAATAGGAAAATTTGAAGAACTAAAAATCAGACATCTGGATTGTAGCTCATTGTCTTCCATGCATGAGACCTGGGTTCCACCCCTAGCACTGCTGACCAAGAACAATAAAATTTTTTTTGTTTGTTTGTTTTTAAGAACAGTAAAATTTAAAAATATATACCTGGGCTATTTCCACCCTGGAGTAGCCTATGTTCTCTCGTTAACATATCACTCTCTCTTTGCTCATATTTATCTAAATTTGTTTTTTAAAAAAGAACAATAAAACTGTTTTTGTTTGCTCAAGAGAAAAGACACTTGCACTGGCATTCCCGAAGACTCTGATTTAAGTAGTTCAATCTTTGGTCAGATTTTAATGACTTTCTCTCTCTGGACCCTAACCTGCTCAGACAATTTGATTTTTCAGTTAGCACACTGGAGTTCCAACCATACTGTTTTCAATATCTCCTTCCTGGGTTTTAAAGAAGAAATGCCCTTCCCTTTTTATTGCTGTTCAATGACCAGTGGCTGTACATGCTGCTGACATGTTCGTATACCTGATCCCCTGGAGGTCATACTCTTTAATTTTTGTGCTCACATACACTCTCAGTTTCTGTACTTGCCAGAAATCACACATTTTTATTTTTGGTGCCCATACATACATGGTTGTGGTAATCTAGAGACTGATAAATTATATGCTTTTGGTCTGGCACTGAGAATCCCAAACAGCAGTGCTTCTGGGTTGCACTTAGTGCGTGTGGGCGGATGATGTCAGGGTCAAACTCTTAGTCTCATGCTTCTAAGGCAGGAGTTTTTCAAGTATGCCCTCCTGTAGTTTCTGCTACATTTTATCTGAAGAAAAACTTCCTGATAAATAAAATCCACTTCTGATGCAGATAAAAACAACAATGACATTATCATCTCATACCACAGAGACTGGCACACATCCCAAAGAACAAAAACAACCTGTGTTGGCATGGATGTGGGAAGATAGGGACTCTCCTTCACTGTTGCTAGAGATGCCAGCTGGTCCAGCCTTTTTGGAAAACAATATGGACATATCTTTAAAAACTAGAAATTGAGCTCCCATTTGACCCAGCAATACCACTTCTGGGAATATATCCCGAGGGTGCAAAAAAAGCACAGTAGAAATGACATCTGTACCTGTACATTCATTGCAACACTGTTCACAATATCCAGAATCTGGAAAAAACCCAAGTGTCTGAGAACAGATGACTGGTTAAAGAAGCTTTGCTATATCTACACAATGGACTACTATGCAACTGTTAGGAAAGATGAAGTCATAAAATTTGCTTATAAGTGGATGGTCATGGAGAGTATCCTGCTAAGTGAAATGAGTCAGAAAGAGAGGGACAGACATAGAATGATTGCACTCATTTGTGGAATATAAAATATAATATGAGACTTAAACCCAAGGACAGTAGAGACGAGGGCCAAGAAGATTGTTCCAAGGTTGGAAGTCTGCCTCATGAGCTGGGGAAAAGTCAGTTGGGATAGAGAAGGGATCACTAAGTCATTGATTGTTGGAGGGATCACTTGGGATGGGAGATGTATGCTGAAAGTAGATAAAGGACCAAACATGATGACCTCTCACTATCTGTATTGCAAACCATAATGCCCATAAGTAGAGTGAGTATAAGTGTGAAATTGTCTCTCAGGAGAAGGGAGGGTGGTGGGGGCATGGAGGGATACTGGGGACATTGGTGGTGGAAAATGTTCACTGGTGGAGGGATGGGTGCTCTGTCATTATATGAATGATACTCAAACATGAAAGTTTTGTTAACTATAGCTCATGATTATTAAATTAAAATTTAAAAAAGAATAAAATAAAATACACTTCTCACTCCACTCTACCTCACCCACGAAACAGAAAAAAGAATAAAAGAAAATAAATATAGTCTTCACAGTATTCCCAATTCTTGTTTCAGATCAAGGAACTACATGAAATCTCTTAATATATAAAAAACGTTGTCAAAACTACAACCCCTTAGGTCTGGATGCCAATTCTAGGCAACATTACCTATTCCTGAAATGCTTCCACCGTCTGCCAAATGGTTGAAGGATGTGATAAGACTATAGCACTTCAATCCTCCAGGGATGGGTGTCTTTTACATAAATTCTGCTAGAACTTTCTCTTTGATCTAAGGATGTTAGGGTTTCTTTGAATTGGACAATTGCTACATGCCAGTATCTGGGAACATAAAGAAAAGACTTACATTGTTTTCATCTTTTCCCTCTTGCAGTCTCAACGGAGGGTTCTCTGTGAATGTGGTAGCCTTCCAAGCTGCTGTTCTGCCAGTTGATATGAACATGGCCTGATCCTCACAGAAAGACTCACTCATGGCACTGCCAGAAGATATCCTTGGAGTATTGACAGATTAACCAGAGTCACAGAAAAAAAAGAAAAAGAAAAAGCACCAAGCACCCTGTCAGTAAAGCGTATGGGTTTGGAAAATCTTAGTTTGCTGTGGATTTCTAAATGAGGTGCATATTATACAGTGCCAACTGGTTCCAAGTGGTCATTGGCAGACCCATAGCTGGAAAATTGCTTCCAGTTTTCATCACTGTGCATAACTGAAGCTCCCCCCAGGGAGCTGTCTGTACCCTTCACTAGAAGTCCTGTTTTAGCATGGCAACTACTGGATTATTTTATTATGTGTACAGATGGCATGATGTGTTAGAAAAAAAAATCCCAGCAGCTCTGCAATCTCAGTGGATGCGTTCGCCATATTATGCCCTGGTAAGAATGTAAACTTGTCTCGGTTATGTTAGTTATAATGTCTAACGATTTTCTGTCCAACTCTGAAGCACTTTATAGGAGAACACTACACTTAAACAAACCGGCACGTGCAGTACATGTGGAAAGTGTTTTCTTTTTTTCTTTTATAAGCCTTGTCCTATTTATGGCTCAGACTGTCAAAGATAAACTCCTCTTTTAGCATATTCTTGATTGTGTGTGATAGATTAGTGTAAATATGGCCACAATACTGTTAAACTTAACCTCTTGACACTTTACTAAACAACCAGATCACTTAAAGCACCAAAGGGAAGCAGAGGGGAGCCTGGGAGGGTCAGACCTTAGCTCTCAATTGTACCTGGGTGCAACTGAACCCGTGCACATACAAATACTCCAACACAGGAGATTGGACTTGGCCAGTGCATGTGGTCTTAATATTCAGTAGAGGAAATCTTTCAAAGAAACGGGAAGAGACCCTGGTGGGAGCATGGCAAAGGAGATAGTTTGTGTATGTGTATATCTATAAGCCAACTCTAGCACTTTAGAAAACTTTCTATGTTGCGTTTAAATCACAACTCTCTGAAGCCAAAAAACAAGTAACTGCCACCCTCTGCCTACCTAGAGATGAAAATGGGTTCAGTCCATACTAACTTCTTCCTCTGTGCAGATCCTTCTAGGCCCTTCAATCCTTTTGAGGACTATGTTCACGCTGATTTCCTCTCCCCCTCCCCAAGATTTTTAACAAAGCACAATCCTGGGAAACCAGTCTATCCATCTACTGCTTGTCTTTAGAGAAATGGCCAAACTCACTCTACTTAACGACTAAGCTTTTATCTTTTATTTATTTATTTTGCTTTTTGGGTCACACCTGGAAATGCACAGGGATTACTCCTGGCTCATGCACTCAGGAATTACTCCTGGTGGTGTTCAGAGGACCATATGGGATGCTGGGAATCAAACTGGGTCGGCCAGGTGCAAGGCAAATACCCTACCTACTGTGCTACTGCTCCAGCCCCAAGACTAAGAATTTATTTCACTTGAAAATATAATTGACTGAAGTAAAAATTCACCAATGTGTGTTGTCTGCATTCACAGTTCCATCCTGGGACTAACAGGTCTCAGAGGGTTCTTTTTTGAACAACTCCGGGATTGTGCAAATTTAGCGAACTTGGCATTGTTGGGGGGTCTGGGCACACAACAGATGTCTGTTCTCCCCATATCTTGCCTTTCTCGGAGCTCTCAGGAAATGTATAGCGCCTGGGAAACCCAGCATCCCTCAATGCATGGGATCCGAAAACAGCATAGAGAAGGAGAGAGGGATCCAAGTGAGGGTCCGGTGAGTCAGCAAGGTGAGTCTCTGCCCACCCATATGGCGGGCCTGCCAAAGAATAGGGCTTCCACATGAAAACTCAGAGACATTTCCTCAGCACCTAGATCGGGCCAAGGGCTGGGTCAGCCCCAGGACCCTCTGGCCCTGAGCCACCTTTACTTTTTACAAATCCCAAATGAGGAAGCTCTCTCCTGGCTGCTTCCTCCCTAGATGTGGCACCCCTGTCTCCACTGCTTGTTAACCATCCTTGGTTCACTTCCAGTAATAGCAATTCCTTCTTCCTTTCCTAGTTTCTGGGATGCAGCAAGCATTTGGGGAGCGGCTGCTTTGAGACCAGCCTGGTGCTGGGGCAACCACGGTACACAAGGCACATTCTCCCTGCCTTTCTTAAACAGCAACTCCACCCAACCCTTAACCACCGCCTTTTCCACAATGAAATCTGAATGCAGTGTGCATTCAACCCCTGCCAGAAAAACCTGAGAAATGCCCATGGCCATCTGCTTTTCTTGCCTGACAAAGAACACAGCACCAGGCCACATATTTGCATCTCTCCTATTCCACCACCCCTTTCTGGCCCAGATTTAGTGGAATAGAGCTTCCCAAGACAACTTTCTGTTGTCTTCTTTGATCTCCAACCCAATCCTCAACACACCCATTCGATAGAGCCATAGTCGCTCAGCATAATGCAGATTTCTCTGAAGCTCCAATTCTGTTATAAAAGTTAATGCTGAGGACACAAGATTGGGCTTGTGAATACTAAGGCACTACTGCCAAGTGCTGAGCTACTGTAGCTGGAATGGATTGGTTTGGCTGGGGCAGGGGGTGGATTCCGAGACTCCCGTTCACACCCTTGGAAAATGGGATATGCTTAATAGTGCAGACATCATGAAATGGTGGTTCATCCTCTTGTAATTTGGCTTTTGCAAGATATATTTTTAACAATTGAATAGGTCAAATATCTGAATTATTTTTTCCTTGAGATAAATTAGGACGGGGAAATTACTCTTTCAATGATGATAAAGATAAAGATGGATGAAGACAAAAATAGAGAAAATGCCCAAGTGCAGGAAAGATGACCCCCCCCCAAAAAAAATGCCTTAATTCCTGGCAAGTACCACTTATGTGTGTTATCAATTCCTATTTTCCAAGTGGTCAACTTCCGCTTGACATTATTTGGGAAAATAATGTTGGAAATGTGTTGATAGCAAGTCTTAGTAGTCACAAACTAAACCAGCAACTTTAAAAAACAACTCGGTTTCCAGCCTTGGAATTCTTTGTTATAAGTTGATCCACAGTTGCCCTGGCTTACCTCTGGCTGTGCTGTATACCTTCTTAAGATGGTGTCAGAAATTCTACCTCCCAGAAGTGCAGAAACAGCAGGGATGAGTTTTGTTTTAGAGGAAGGAAGAGGGTGGGAGGGAAAGCAGAAATATGATGGCTAAGGGCTATCCACTGATGATGCTTCCCTTTTCCTTTCTCTAAAATCTACGTCACCCCCTTGAAGAAGAGGCTGACCCCCCCCCCCCCCATGTGTGCAAGAGAGGCACTCTGGAGAACAAACAATTCTCAGACACCCTACAGTGCCAGGGGATTAGCAAATTCTAGCTCCAGAACAACATTTAAATATGCAGCACATCAATTGTTCTGCTAGGGTAGAGAGCAGATCACTTTAGTCATTTAAGGCATACCTAGGGGTATAGAGTCCTTCCCAACTTCCTTAGTGGGTAATGATGTACCTTCACACTCCTGCTCAGGCTCCATGAGCTGTATTACAGCACATTCGACTTCTACCTCCAGATCACGGGTGAACAACCAAGGTTTCTCCCCAGAGTCACTGCTCAGCTGTCCAGTCAAGAACAAATTGTCCTTAATTCTGAGAGCTTTTGCCATTGTTAAAAATGCAGGGGAAAGGGAATACCAATCTGACATGAGAATTTAAACTAAGGATTAAAAAGCCTCTGAGGCATTTACTCCTCTGGTTACTTGCAAGCACTCTCTTTGCCTGCAAATGTCACATCATTGATTTTGGAATTGAACAATAAAAAATCTCCAGAAAGGAAAGTTTTCAAGACCCCCTCAGCACTTGAGCTTTCTGTTCCTGGTGCATTAGCAGCTTCCTTCTTTGTTATGTTTTCCTCTATGTTCTATTGAGTCATTTTGTTCCTTGACTCCTAGATTTAAAACTCCTGAAGACTCTTTAAAAATCTAATCTTTGGAAATGACACATGTTTCTTTTATGCCGAACAGGCTTTTATTCACCTTTCCCTCCACCCCTCTTCTTATTTTGTTTGGTATTTTTCTTTCTTTTAATCTCTTTCTTCTTTGAACATAGTGCTGTGGGTAGATGATTAGTATTCAACAAAGAATTCAAGCACAAAAACCAGACATGTCACCTTTCTCCCCTTTCCCACCCCATCCTCACTCATCATTCCTTCTGAGCTTGAACTTGGAACTTGCTGCCCCATCAGCCACGGGACATGGATTCCCTTCTTTGTTTCGGGGTTGACTGGTCAAAGCTGTACCTCAAAATTGGTCCCCTGAGATAAAGAAGGAAGAATGACCAAGAGATGCTTCTGCTTAGAGCACAGCTGGGGACTCATTTTCAAAGGCAAGCAGGTCCTACAACTTAGTATCCTTGGAGTCACATCTCCTCCTGTACCCAGCAGCTCTCTTTATAATATATGAATTCTGCTTTATCATGTGTGTGATTTCTCACATCACTTTACAGCTGCTGAGACAGGAACAGGCTCTGGGAGCAAAACACAAAGGAATGTATGAACCCTCCAAGCGTCCCTGAATGCCAAGTGTGTGCTCTAAAGGGAGAAGACAGCACCTAGGTCGGCCAGTCAGTATAGGGGTGGGTAGCAGGATAGAAGACAGCCCCAAATAGATATGGCTACTATTTTTATTCACTTCTGGAATAAAGAGGGGAAATATTTGAAACAAGGCGGGACGCCATGCTATAGGTGGGTTGTTGTTGTTTGTTTGTTTATTTTTTTTCACGCTTTTTCTGGAACACCCTGTGCCCGAGATCAGATTCCTACCCCTTTTATATGGTATTTAGGGAACTCTCCTGGCAGTTTTTAGGGTGGCTTGGGTAAGAAAACAGTCCCTAGCCTGAAAATGGCATTGGTATTATTTGATTTGTGGTGGGCTGCTAGTTCTGTTGTGGGTCGCACAGTTTTGTGGAAAATAGGAGAGGTTTCGCCTTCATTGAAGAATGCTGCTGGCATGGCATTTCTGTTGAAGACAGGAGGAGCTGACACCCTTCTGTTCCCACATGTTTGTTTTAAGCAATGCAGGGCTTTCCCATCCAGCTGGTTTTCTGTCCCAGTCACAAGCAGGGTCAAAGCAGGCTGTTACCGTTATTTTGCTCTGGATGACTTAATCTAGTGATATTAGATTAAGATTAGGAAACCTTCTTTTGAAGGTGAACCACCTGTGGGAAGCTTGAGGTAAAGATGAGCTGTGTGCAGGGAGGTTCTGCTACACTAAAGGTCAACAGAGAGTGTTGCTAGGGAAGGCAATCAGAGGGATGGAGTCAGCAGAGGGCTCCGGGCCAGCCTTTTGGTTTTGCAGGGAAGATGGAGGACAGCACTCTCTAATCTCTAAACACTTAGGGTTGGGCCACAGAGACAGGGGTAAGGCACTTGTCTTGCATTCAGTTGACCCAGGGTCTATCCCCAGAACCATGTTTGGTCCCCTGAGCATCACCAGCTGTGTCCCCCAAACAAAAAAACGATTTAATTTTTAGAATGTTTAGGTCTTCTGGGAAAATCACCCCTCACAAATGTTACAGGGAAACACTTGTGAGTCAACTTTCACAGAAGCACAGCAAAGTGTTGAAAAGACTTTTAAAAACTTTTTTTTTAAATTTTTTCACCACACAAGACTGTTACAAAATCTTGAAGATCCCAAGTGTTCTTTCCTCATTGCCTTCCTTCCCTACATCTATCAGGTCCACAGGTTCCCACCTCATGCTTTAAATAAATTGATGTACACATTGGATTGCCATTGTCTGGGTTGATTCAAGTCCTAAATATTGTAACTAGCTGAATATTATTTCTAGTTCTACCATATTTTTTACATTTGCATATCAATCAGTGTTCTATTTACTTGCTTGGTTGTTGTTTTACAGACAATTAAAAAAGTCTTAGAAATGCTTTAAAACCCTGACCTTTTTGCTTGATATATAAAAAGTGATAAAACTGGCCACACTGATATG